AATTGGGTATAGTGTTTGAGACATGGGTTGGAGCAATTGTTGTCTGCTTGCAATTGCTTCTCAAGAACTTGGGGAGGCACAGAATTAGCTTGGTATGCGGCTTCGAGATTAGCTTCAAATGAGAAAGCAGTGTTTTCTTTTTCTTGGGAGGTCAATTCCAAGTTTGGAGACAAAGTTTGACTGGGAATATTCACAAATTTCCTTAAGGGGTGTGCTTATATTTTGGGAAGATTTTTTTTTCTTTTCTTGATAGCTTTTGATAGGAATCTTTTTTTATTTCGAATGGGATTGATTTTGAAAATTATTTTTTTCCTTAACAAGATTAAGTTGTTCCTTAGCTGGCTGAAAATATTGGGAGATATCTCCTAAATTAGTTGTACCAAAGCACTGACCATCATTATCTTGAAAAGATTTTGCAAAATCTTCCCCCTCCTTATTAGGCTCCAATTCCTCCTCAACCTGATCTTCCAAAACCGCAAATCTCGAGTTGACTCCTAGTTTCAAGCCTTGAGATTGGTTTTTACCCAATTGCCCCTTTGCCTGTGTCTGTTCGTTGACCTTGGCTTGCTGCCTTACTCCATCACCACCATTTGATTTTTCGGTCGCCTGAAAAGCCCCAATCACCATCTTCTGTGGAACCGTAGTTTCACTTGGAATATTCTTTCCAGCTTGAGCATTATTTTTAACTACTCTAGGATTATTCCTGCGACCAGGTTTCTTAACTAACATCCACGACCCGAAGTCCTCTGTTTCCTCTGGTTTGTTAGCTTGATTATGCAGGGGGTTGTCATGAATGACCATAGCAGCTACACCAGCTTCATTCACAACAGGTGTGCACTCATCTCCAGTATGACCAAGTTTGCCACATTTAAAGGATACCATTTTGATGCCTTCATATAGAATACGCCAAATTCGACCCTTCAACCAAAATTTTGATAATAATGGTTTAGATAGATCAATTTCCACGATTAATCGGGTAAACTGACCTCTTTCTGCTTGTGCTGTAGTTTGATGATTAGGGATGTCTTCCAAGGTTTCCTAAGCCTCTTCTTTTCCTCCTTGGATAGTTGAATGACAGGACAATGATCATCATTCAACACATCTTCTGGAATTAGTTCATCATCAGAAACGTCCTCTTTATCATCACAGTCAAAGATTTCCACATGAGTAGATGAGATTCTCCTCTGCTGGCCACTGATCATGTCTTTGAATGAGTTTGCACCAAGATTTCGTGGAGGCATTTTCGGGTTAACAGGGACTTCCACATCCTCCATAACTTCATCAGCATGAGTAGAGATCTGTTCATCCTGAATAGATTTCTTATTAGATCTTATCAATTGATCAATTTCCTCTATTGAATAGGGATTTTCACCTAGGGTTTTCGAGTTTTCCATAGAGAGCGTTTTTTTTATAGTTCTATGATTTGTAGTACTGCACTAAAAAAAATTAAAAAAAAAAACATTTTATAATTATAATAATTGTAACTTTTTAAAAATAGTCCTTAAAAATTTAAGGGACCAATTTTTATAGTTAGATTTTTAAGGAACCCATTTTTATAGTTAAAACAGGGCCATCTAATTACCCTGTTAATTAATTTAGAAATGTGAAAATTATATATTTAGATTGGTGAATGCAGAACAAAACTTAACTCTCTTTAAGCGATCCAAAGGGACCTTCGTCCGGTTTTTTTGGAGAACTTAAATGGAGGGCTTGGCCAAGATTGGTGCCCAAGGATCGAGGTGGAGCAATGTAGTTTGGCTACATTATAGGCTGTGTTTGTTAGTTTTGTTTTATTTTACTTCTTTATGTTTGCTTTTGCCCCTCTCCTTCACCAAAAAAAAAAAATAAAAAAAAAATGAATATGGTCAATGTTTGATAAATTAATTGAAAAATAAATATGGTCAACGTTTGATCGTACCGAGAGATTAAATCAACTCAACTACTAAGGGCCTGTTTTCTCATTGACTGAACTGAGCTGAACTGAATTGAACTGAAATGAATATTTTATAAGAGAAGGAAATTAGGAGCAGAACTAAATTGAACTGAAATGAATATTTTATAAGAGAAGGAAATTAGGAGGTGAACTGAATTTCAACGTATGAGAACAGACCTTAAGACTTGAAACAAGTATCAAGTTACAAGTCATACCACCATCGCTATTCATTTACAACGCTTATTACTCAACAAAATTATAGTTAGCTTGGATATAATGATTAGTGTTTAAGTATCCTATTTGTTCTCCATTATGTAATGTCATAATTTTGAAGTTTGAAAAACTCCGTAGTGTTTTTTCGATTAGATGAAAAATACTAATTTTGTTTTCTCGGTAAATAATCATTAAATGCTGAATATATATAAATCAAAACTTACAAAATATTGAATATGGTTTTCCTAATACAATTTTTTGTAACATAATTATGAAAATTTCAAGATGATTATCAAATCATTATGAAGAAATAGCCGAACATAATTATCAAATTAAATAAGTATAAACTAACAACCCGTAGTACCGGATCACACACTAATTTTTTATTGTAGGATGAATTTATTAAATCATGTCATCCTCTAAAGTTGCCTAAATTTTGTATGAGTAGCGATTAAGCATATTCAAACGAGTAGATATAATTAAAGTCAATTGACAACGTTTCGTACTAGATTAGATAATATCCATCTCTTATAAACATGTATGTACCTATGCATGGAATCATGGTCCTAAATATGGAGAAGTCTTACACCACACTACTTTAAATCAATTAATGAGTTTTCCTTTGTCTGAATAACTTCTCATTTGAAAGGATTTAAACATCTCAGTACTACTTTCAAATTCAATCAGTGTGTTGACTTACAGATAAGAACTATATGCAAGAAACTTAGAGTTTACGAGTGTGCAGCTAAAATTGGCAAATCGTGTATTTATACTAATAAGTTCATTGTATTTTTGCATTAGGTTTCCTATTGACATTGGTTTCATTATGGTGTGTAATATATTAAGAAAGTAGTTGAATGTCCTTTTCATCATATACAAGTATAAGTTTAAACAAAATAGAGCTTACAAAAGCATAATGTCAAATTATCAACAACGTGTAAATCACTTACAACGTGTAGTTGCATTACTTGCAAATTCACAACCTTTTGGTTTCACTTTGTTTCACATTCACATTATTAGGGCTTGTTCATATTTACTGAACTGAGCTGAACTGAACTGATTGGAGCTGAACTGAACTAAACTGAACTTATTGAAGCTGAACTGAACTGAACTGAACTAAGCTGAAATGAATATTTTATGAGAGAGGGAAATTAAGAGCTGAACTGAACTGAACTGAACTGATTGAAGCTGAACTGAACTGAACTGAAAATAAGTAAATATGAACATGCCCTTAATCATTCTAAAGGGTTTATGGTTTTAACTTAGCTGAGCTCGGCATAAGAGTTTACTATATCATTCAAATTTTATCCTATATCTTACTCCATTGGAAGTCATTTAGTTCACTTAATTTTTACTTAGTAAAGTTTGCACTTGAGTATTCTTCATAGGGGCTTGCGATCAAAATTAAAATTCATAATAATTTTGCAAATATGGCATAAATTCATACAGATTACATTAATCGGTGTTATAAAAAACTAGATAAAGTCCGTGCAATGCACAGTTTGTTTGAATTTTTTAAAATAATTTTTTATGCATATTTTTATGTGCTAAAATTTGTTATATATTTAGATAAAATTCCTGATACCAAAAGATAATATTTTATACTTAATTAATTTAAACTAGGAAATCTCATTCGCCAATGTGTCATTTAAATTATTTAATTTTAAAAGAAATTAATAATCTCGTATTTAATTGGATACCACTAAAAATTATTATCCTACATGGCACGCTGAAAAAATTAAATCCTATGTGGCTCTCTAAAAACTCGGAAAAAAAACTCTCCTTTATATATATACTAGTTTTGTGCTCGTGCGATGCCCGGGTTGTTTATTGAATTGTAAGATAAATTTTTAATCTATATATCAAATTAAATTTTAAAATATATCATTGATAAAAATTAGTTTGGAATTGATGTGCTTTTGTGATGATTTTGCTATCTAATAGACATGTGATGACTAATAATAATGTTGGTGGAAATGTTCGATTTAATACACTAAAAAAATAGCAAAAAATAAATTATATGAAATAAATGTTCAAAGCCCGCTGGGTTATTCCGAACCTAAAATTTTGGGCAAGAGTTGAACATTTCTTGATTCACAACCTGAAGTGACCCAATTCGAGATGACTCATAACCCGATCCTAATTGATGGGTTTACATAGTAATAAAATTCTTAGATTACGAAGTACTCATAGTCTCATATTATTTTAGCCGATTAGTATATATTATAAATGGATGTTTTATGTTTTGAACTATATTAGAATCATAATCTAATAATTTTTTTTAGATAAAATTATAATTCAATTTGTGAATATTGATATTTTATCGAAAATAAAACTCTAAACTAACAATTTTATCCTAAAATTCTATCCAAATAGAATTCTAAACTAACTTTTTTTATCTTGCAAAGTCTATTTAAGTCTATCCTACGTGGCGCGACATTTGGCGAAAAGATGAAACGCCAATTGTCGCTGCTTGTGAGCTGGCTAAAAGTTTAGCTTAATATATTAGTTATATGATATATATTAGATTATAAAACCACAACATAATATTTCATGTATTGACGAGATTTTTTATATCAAGTCAAAGATACCGCCTTAAACAAAATAAACAACCATGATCTTTGACAAAACTACGATTAAGATCTGTTCTCATTGACTGAATTGAAAATAATATGAAGCCCTAAGTTGCACGAGATAGAGAAGGATCCTTTCTTACACCACATTTTTCCCATCACTAACACGCTCATAAACGACAACCCCTATCCCATAAAACGACCACCACTCCTCCCCAAATTTACTCAAAGGGCATAATCGTCACATTAAAAAATTACAATCACTCCCTTCTTTTATACGTAGAGAAACCAACAACACAACACACACAAACATCAAACTCTCGCTGCCTCTTCACGGCAACAACATCAAGAAGAAGAAGAACCAGAGGAGAGAGAAAGAATCTAGAGAGAGAAAGCTTCGTTTCCTCTGTTAATGGCGGCAGCACCAGTTAAGTCGCCGCTACACAATTTCCCATTAACATTTCTGAAATGGGGTTCAAAGAAAGACCAACAAAGATGTCGCCGATCACCTTACGACTCTCCTCTCTCACCTCCTCCGCCGCCGTCTTCATCGGACGCCGAGCCCTCAAACTCTAAAGGATCTCGATCATCTCGCAACCGCCGCAACAACCACAACCATCCTCCGCCAACGCCGCCACCTGCGCAGGATGATGAAGAGGAGAGAGATTGTGGGAAGAAACCAGAAGTTACAGAAGAAGGTTCTGGTGTTGGTGTTGGTGTTGCTGTTGCTGTAAATGAAGGCGAAGGAGATGGTGAGAAAGGGTGGAATCTACGGCCGAGAAGAGCTGCCGCCATGAAAGGGGTTTCTGCTACTAATTCAACTCCAACGAATACTTATTCTGGTGTTGCTACTACTGTGGGAGAAAGTGGGGGTGATAATTTGCCGAAATCGATGAGGTTGCGAGGGTTGGAGACGCAAGGTAATGGCGGAGCTAACGGCGGAGGAGGATGTGAGAGAAGAGGGATTAAGAGGTTTTGGATCTCTTTATCGAATAAAGAGATTGAAGAAGATATTTACTCTATGACTGGTTCTAAGCCTTCTCGTCGCCCTAAAAAGCGCCCAAAGAATGTTCAGAAACAATTGGATGTAAGTTTTAATTTCTGGGTTTTATTCAGTTTTTGATGTTGTTGTGATTTTTAGTTGATGGTTTTATTGGGTGTTTTTTTTTGTAGAATGTGTTTCCAGGGTTATGGATGGTTGGGCTTTCGCCTGAATATTATCGTTGTCTTGATGTACCGCCAAAGGTGTGTTTTTAATTCATGGTTTCTTTGATTTTTCTGGGTTTTTGTTATTTTTGTTTGATTGTTGAATTGGGTTGTTTTCTGCAGAGGTAGATATGAACATATCGCAAAGTGTTTTTGCTTAATTTCTGGCGTTTGGGTAGGAGGTAAAGTGTTTGTTTCTGGATTTTTTAAGCATTGATTTTGAGTATTTTGCTCAAATGTTGTAATCTGTGAGTTGTTGAGGGTTTGGATGTTAAGATTGTTCTGCTGTTTCAATTTTGCAGGTGCATAGGAAGGGGATGATTGAAGGGGAGTGTGAATTTTTTTGAAAGCTTGCCGATTGCCGTGTTCGGGCCTCGATTTGGAGGTACTGTTCTCTGTAAAGAGGGGTGATTTGGGACGTCTGGATATATAGAAGAATGATGCCCATTGACTTTTTTGCTTTATATCTTTTGGTATACATAGTAGATTAGAACTAGAGCTAGTGCAATGGCAAGGGTAATTTAGTTTTATTTTAGATTAATTTTCATGATGATTTGGGTAGTTGCAGTATGTATAACAAGGATCTTTGATTTTATGATGAAATGGTGTTGATTATAGCCTGTGAGCTTCATATAGTTGCAGCAGTTTTTTCAGTGACTGTTTAAAGGTTTCGAGAAAAGGTGGTTTATTGACTATGGATTATGATGTGTGACAGGCTTCCTGAGTTTATTTGGGAACAGATTAGCTTTCATGTTCTTTTTCGAAACCCTAAATCTCAAAATTGAAAATCTTATCTGTGTTTTCCAAGCTTATTGTTTATGTAAAGCACTATTCCATATTTCCATCCCTTTTCTCTGGCAAAGGATATATCTGTGGAGGTTGAAATTTCTTGTGCTTCTTGCATGTTTCATTCTCTCTCGTTTTTATTGTTGTTTTTTTTTACCTGTTATGTTCTCTTGCTTGTCATTGGTAGCAAAATGACGACTAAATGCGACTTCGATTGAAATTGCTTTCATTTTTTAGTTTTAAGAGAGATGGTGTCAGACTTCATGAATAGATACATGGCATGGACTATGATGGAATGTTGAGGAGTAAGTAATGTTCAGTTTCAATTACTTATTCCTCCAATGAAACAATCCCACTTCACAATGCCCTGTGATTCCACTAAACCTTCTATCATTCTCTATGTAAAAATGGTAACTAGTTATTTGCAAGTAGAAAACATAGATTGTTTGGAAATCTTTGATCTTTTTTTTTTTTTTTTTTTTTTCTCTGGCCATACAATGCATATCTTCCGAGGATTCCCCTTTGTTTCCATTTTCAAATCTTGCTTACATTTTCTTGAATATTTGAGTGGGTTTATGATACATGTTGTGTCTTTTCCGTGGCAGTTCTTTTTTCTGTGTCTTTACTATTTCATTATATCTCCTTTCTCTTGTCCATAATTCTTTATCACTCTATATTGAATTGTTAACTTCTGTATTTTGGTCCTCTTTCTGTTTATCTATCAGTTTTGGCTTTTTTTTGTCGTAGTTCTTTGTATCAATCAGCCTTTGCAGAATAGTGGTGATCTCTGATCTATGCTGGATAGAGGCTAATTTTCTATCAGTTTTGGCGTTTTTTTTTTTTGTCGTAGTTCTTTATATCAATCAGCCTTTGCAGAATAGTGGTGATCTCTGATCTATGCTGGATAGAGGCTAATTTTATGCTTAATGGCTGCTGTATTGTCTCTGATTAGAAATACTTGTTTAGGTTTATGTCTTTTGGTATTCAGTCCTGATTGTACGCACAATTTCTTGCATTTATTTGCAAGACGATGCGTGAAGGTCAGATTGTTAGATTAGATTCGTAGACAAGTGGTTATTTCCTTACATGGAAAAGTGGAGTATTCATGATTGAGTTGAATTTTCTTCATTTGCTGCTATGGTAGTCGTCATCTTTTAGGTTTATTTAGATAGTCAGATTCAATAAAAGGTAAGTTAGATGAAATTAGAATATAATTCTGACTTTGAAATAGCTCACATGAATATTCTTCATTCTTTCATTTGTAGGATCAATCTGTTACAGATTCTTCATATTTAAAGTGTGCTTGGACTTGTTCCTCCCCTTCTTCATACGTAAAGTGTGCTTGGACTTGTTCCTCCCCTCCCCTTCCCTTTCTTTGTTGTGTTTGGACTAGTGAATGGTTGGTATACCGTCATTGTTGGCTGCATGTGGAAGTTTATATGTCGTTCTGGTGGAAATCTGGAAATTGTTTGATTGATACCTACAATTGTAAATACTCCTAATGTTATATCTGGAGTTTACTTTTTAAACAGGGCAGGTTTTCCAAATTGCATACTCGTAGAGTCGTATACACTCGGGCCTATTTTGCTCGTGTTGAGAGCTTTTATAGCATGAGTGATACTGGATGTATATTGTATCTTCTTTTATGTACTCTCGGCTCTAGGAGCTTCGGATGGATAATCAATTCTGCTTAAATTGTTTGACCAACAGGGCTGTCATGTGTTGTAATGTTTACAGTTATGGGTTGTATTGTTCAACCAAATTGACTTTGCCGTGTATTTTGTACAGTATTCGTAGATCGGTAGATGTGTGTTTTATGTTGCGTTTGGTGGAAGATATAGATTGCATTTAGGAGTATCACGTGATATGAGCTTATTTTAGGTTAGTCAGATGCTTTCACGTGCTGTTTCTTTACGGCGTGGAGTATCACCGATTGGGTATCTTTATGTACTACCTATTAGACTTCTAGCGTACATTTTTGCAAAAATATACAGTATTCAGTAATACGGAGTACTCCATATTTTTTTTCACGGGTCTATATTAATTGATTGTTGATGCAGTGGTGATTGAGATTTAGGGTTGTACTTGGTTGGGAGGACTACATGTTTAATCCCATGCAATAACAATTGGGAGGAGATTGAAACCTAATTACTCATAATTGAATTCCAAATCTGAATTAGCCTAAAAGGTGAACCGAGTGGGACACTAAGAAAAAAATTACTCCGTATATACTTCCTTCGTTTTTTATACTTGCAACAATTTTCTAAAATGAAAATATCATAATACTTGTTAAACACTATAAATGAAAGTTTTTTTTGGAAAAAGTTGTACTATTTATCTTATTTAAAGCACATAACCCACTAAATTATACTCCAAACAACCTCTCATTGCATTTTAAAGTGTATTAATCATGTGAAACCAACATTTTTAAAAAAAAAATAGTGTAAAAAAGTTTGTGTTGTAACTTGTAACTATTATAAAACGGAAGAAGTATATACTCTTTAATAGGAGCACAAATCTCATCTTGCAATAGGATAGCTTTAGATATTTGTTGCTTACATCTGTAATGTGTTTGTTTCTTTATACTCCATATACCATGGAATATCTTTTATGATTCACATGTTTATGGGTAATCATTGCACTAGCTAAATCTTAATTGATGTTCTTAGTGGATAATACAATAAATAAAATTCTAAGATAAGGAAAGGAATCAAAGGATCACTCCCAAGTGTTGGTAGAATTTGGTTTGAATTCTGTCAATCAAACTTGGATCTTCACTTCATCCAATTGGAGAAGCTAAATGTGGTGTACACCGGATACACCATCCACCTGATTGTGGATTTATTAAGACATAGCATCATTAACAATCAACTACCAAGTTTTAATTTTCCTAAAAAAAAAAAAAAAAAAAAAAAAAAAAAAAAAAAATTAATAATTTAATTACAGAGAATACATACTCAATATATTTTGGTTGGGGTTAATCATCAAAGGAAATTGGAATCAATTGCCCCATTCCCTTTGTTGTTGTTTGTTAGACCATATTTTTCATTCCCTTTCCCCTCTTCATTCCCCAAAATCCCTCCAACTCCATTCCCCACCCCCCCTAGACTTTCCCTTTCCCATTCCCATTCCTTGTCCACCATACCACCACCACCATACCACCACCCTTCCACCTTTTCAACTCATCGGAAACCCGCACCACCAACCACGACCAGCCGCGCCTCCCTTCCCCTCACAGCCAGCCACGCCTCCCTTCCCCTCCCCTCACAGCCAGCCGCGCCTCTCTTCCCCTTCCCCTCACCGCATCGCACTTCCCCTTCCCCTCGCCGCGTCGACGCCGCCTCCCTTCCCCTTCCCCTCGCCGCGTCGCCGCCGCCTCCCTTCCCCTTCCCCTCGCCGCGTCGCCGCCGCCTCCCTTCCCCTTCCCCTCGCTGCGTCGCCGCGCCCTCGCAACATTTTCCATCCCCGAAAAAACCATAAAAAAACTAAATCCACGACCAGTCAACCCTCCCCCACCCTCGAAACCCTAGCGCCTAGGGTTTCGAGGGTGGGGGAAGGTCGGACAGCCGATTTTTCGGGGAGTGAATGATGTTTTTCGGGAGAGGGGAGTTTCTAGGGTTTTTCGGGGCTGATCTCCGGGGAAGAAACGGTTGCGCGGAGGCCGGCGAATGGGAGGCGACGGTGAGGGGAAATGCGCCGAAGGTGTGGCTGGTGGTTTGGTGGTCGGATGGTGGCTAGATAAGGTGGAACGTGGGTGGTTGTGTGGTGGTGGGTTGATGGGATTGTTTCCCTTTGTTTTTAAAACAAATAACATAGAGAATATTAGGTAATTTCATTCCACTCTCTACCATTCCCTTTGTTCATTCCATCCGTTTACCCCGGGTGAACCAAACGGCCCCTCATATTAATGCTACTGGAGTATAAATCATAAGCTCGTGCTTACTGATGAACTTTTTTTTATAATACACAATTTATAACCTTTCATAGCTTTTTTATGTGGTCAAACAGCCAAAAAATGTATTTGGTAATTGGCTTTTTAGTTAGCGAAAAAGCTGGCTTTTAAGCCAAAATGAAAAAGCTGCTTTGAATAGCTTTTTTGTTGGCTTTTGGCTTGTTGGCTCCCAAATTATCTTATAAACAACCAACAGCCAACAACCAACAATTTATTTACCAAACACTTTTATAAACAACCAGCTTGAAAAGCCAATTTCAAAAGCCATTATAAATAGCGAAACATTCTACCTGGTCAAACAAGCCACGTGAACCAGCCAACCGCCAACAACCATTTGCCAACTAAGGCCTATATCCTTAGAAAACTGATTCATCTTTCTTTTTTTCTCACTCTGTATTAAAGTAGTAGGTTAGTCACGTATGAAAATTCGTGTTAAACTATAAATAATAACATTGAAATTATCACGTAAATTACGTTCCTTTTTTTTTTCGGGTTGAACTATTGGCCGCCTCAAGTTTGAGGGCCCAATTTATTGCCAAATGTGGGCTTGAAATATGAATAGTAGGCCTATTAACATCAAAAAAACAGCCCAGTCCAAATAAAACTATCCAATCCTCACTTTTGCTTTCAGCTCAGCCCATGTCTCTCACTCTTACTTCTTCTCTCGCATTTCCTGATTAGGGATTAGTAATAAATTTATAAAAATACCATTATTAACTTCTACCCTTCCCCTTACTTTTTCAATTTCATTAAGGATAATTTAGTCTTTTAAAACCCATTTTAATCCCTTCCCCTTATACCACCCCCCTTAGTTATAGAAATGGAGGGATAAGTGGGTGATTTAATCCCTATCCCTAACCCCCTTATAATCCCCATCCCTTTAAACAAACACTACAT